GCAGTGGGCACGGTGGGGTGGCCTGGGGTTGGGCCTGAGGATCTGGGAGATCTTTTCCAACCTGAATGATTCGATGGTTCTGCGATTCTAAAGAAACTAGTGTTCCGATTTTTTCCACTGCAGTCCTCTTATCTCACCTTCCTTTTGTGTTTCCATGTCTCAGTATCTCATTCAGGCTAAGGAGACGCTCCTGGGTAGTTAAGTGCTTGCTGTTGCTTTATCAGAGGTAAAAGGGCGCTTTGGAAATGCAAGCCTTTTCTGTTGTGAATCAACGTGCCATTGTGCTTCTGTGTCTTGCACAAGAATCTAGGTGTGAGCACAGCCACAGCAGTTCACAACACTCAGGACTCCAGATGTGGGGACTAGGCGTAGAAAGGCACTAAAAGTGCCCAAAGCAGATGAAAACATTTAAGACATAACTTCCCTGCACTCACATGTGCTTGTATTGTATCAGTCCCAAGAAGCCCCATGAATTAAGATGAGGTGAAAAATGCCAGTAATCCCTTGCCCTTTTATCTCTGCTGTAATGAAGTAATGTCTTGCTGTTTAACTTACATGTTACAATTAAGATTTTTACTTCTTGATGTGATTCACTGCAGGGACTGTGGATTCAGAAAGTTTTCAAGGGCAAAAAGACTCAAGTCAGAGGAGCAAGTAGGTGGAAATGGAGGTCTGCTTCCCACTTATTTATTTTCAAGTTGCACTTAAAAGAATGACAAAAGCAAGTCTTGCTTCCATCATCATACAGCAATTGAAGTAAGAAGATACTTGCTGTGGGGCATTAGCACAAGGCCCGTAACTCAGGGGAAGATGACTTCAAGGAGTTATTAGGGGGAGAGAAATAAAAAGTGAAGCCCTTGGAAGCCATCGGGATAATTGCGCTTGGAGCGTAGTTTCTGTTTGTTTGGATTTGATGTTTAAAAACATCAGCTCAAAATTCATGTCATTAGTGCAGAAAAGTATTTTACAGTGAGAGCTAAGAGAGCAATAATCGTATTTAATGTCATTTGTCATGGGACTGCATATAGCCTCTGAACCTGCTCTACCTAAAATGAAGTGTCTTTCTCTAGACAGAGCCAGCTGTTCCCTGGACGCCGGACAAAGCTGCTTTCTGCTTTGTAGATTTTTGCTCTATTGCATTTGCAGGTGCCTCATATTTAGTCACAGACTGCAAATAATCAGAACTTATCTGAATAAAATTTTCCTGACTCTTCTGCCTGAATGCTCTCACTGTCTGCTCCCAGCCAAACTGCCTTTCCAGTTCTTTCCCCGACGTCTCTGCAGAGTTCATTGCTCTGATTCCACCACTGGGGCATGGCAGTGTTGGTCAGTGCCTTTCCCCTGACTGTGTGCTTCTGTGCAGGCCGGTGGCACTCAGGTGGTGACACAGGGAGTCCTGATGTGCGGGGAGGGGAGCTCGTCACGCTTTCCCTCTTGGGTTTCGAGATGTCCCTACGAAAAGCACAGTTATTAAGTCTGGATTTGACAGCACGTGGCTATGGAGATTCTCTTTCCTATTCATTTAGAAGGTGGGTTTGCTGATGTACTATAAGAGAACAGCTGCCACAGTGGTTGCTCTGGGGCACTGGATTTTGGCTAGCTTAGCCTTGGTGGGCCGGGTGAAGGAAAAGCACGTGACAGCACTTTCTGGGGTGTGCTGTTCCTAACATGTGGTGTGTTGGCCAGTGTTGTGTATTCCTGGAATTATACACAGGAAAACCTACCGTTTGAGTCAGGAGAGACAGAGGCATGACTGCAATCAGCTGTCTGCGTTGGATGGAGATGGGAACAAGCAGCACGTGTTCATCAGTGTGTTGCACACTCACTGCAAAACACTTGGGTTTTGTTCTGCTGCCACTAAAGGTTGGGTATTAGGAAAAAAATTTGGATTGGATATTGGGAAAAAAAATATCTTCCAAAGAGCAGAGCTGCAGTGGCACAGCTGCCCAGCAGTGGTGGGGTCACCATCCCTGGGGATGTTCCAGAGCCATGGAGATGTGGCACTGAGGGATGTGGGCAGTGGGCACGGTGGGGTTGAGCCTGGGGATCTGGGAGGTCTTTTCCAACCTGAATGATTCGATGGTTCTACAATTCTATGATTACAGTTCCTTTTCAGCCCCAGCTGTTGCTATCAGCAGGGGTTTAGCTGAAGAGCTCCGTGCTGCACTGCTTGGATTGTCCCCTACTCAGCAATATTTCCCAGGATTTGCAGCAGTGGGGATCTGCAGCAGGACAACCAAGGCAACCACTCAAAGCTGCCCTGTGGTCCCACGCATGGATGCCCAGCTCTGTCTGTCTGTCTGTCTGTCTGGCCTCCTCCCCAGCAGGCTGTGCTGCACAGGGGCACAGCCCCATGGCAAGCAGGTGGCCAGGGCTCTGTGTGCGCCGTCCATCAACAGTGTGCTTAGGCCTATGGATGCTCGACCTTCCATTTCCCCACCTCTGTATTTAGGAAACAGAAAAGGAAGCTCCTTTGAAATGAACCAGTTCCCTGGTGCTTTCGGAGTTTGGAACGGTGGTCATTTTAAAGACTGCTTCAAACAGAGTTTACTGGAGTTGTATAAATCTTTGCTTTAAATCCACTGTAAATACGTTACAGAATCTGCCAAATGTGCATTAAAATATTTTGCTTCAGATATGCCTATATCCAACCTTTTGGTTTCTAAGAGCCTTAATCAGTAATCTTCAAGTAGGAAGTTATTCATCTTTATTGCCAGGCAGTTCTCAGTGGTGGTCGTGGCAACAATCTTTTCATTGCTTCTGTGTTTAGTTGTTCTTTGACATGATAGAAGTCAGCTGCAGTTCAATGAGCTCACTATTTGTGCAACTTAATTGCTTGCTTCCTTTAATATGTACTCAATTTTTCCTTTTATGAGCAGGGTTGTTGGAAAAATTAAGCTTAAGGATATAGCTATCCACTGTTAATTAACCTCCTTCCCAAACACATTAGTAAAATAGGTCAAATGACTGTTGAGTGTTAAGTGTACCATTACTAAGGTATTTCTCAGCTGGAAAGTGAACCATGTATTGGATAAGACAGGAGTTTCCAGAGGAGCTTCAAGGACGGAGGTGTCCGTATCGCCCTGAAATTCAATTAGATCTGCGTGCCTAATTCCCTTAAGCTGGATTTTACAAAAGCTCTTAGGACTGTGCGCTAAGGAGTTTTGATTTGGTGCACGTTTAGGGCATACTTGTTTAAAAATAGACAGAACCTGCTTTCTTTGTTGCTGTTTATTTAATTAAGCTTGATCTTTGGTTGCAATGGGACGTGTGATCCACGCATGCACGTGGATGTGTGTGCATGCATTTAAAGCAGCAGGCAGGAAGAGGGAATCAGCTTTCTCGTAGGTATCCCTGCTTTGCATGAATAAAGCTACTGCATCTGTTTGTTCCTTTGAGAATGACTAACGTGATTATTCATACTGCTAATTCCTAGAATAGCTCTGATATGTGAGCATGTATAAATAGTTCTGATGAGTATAAAATCTGCTCGGTGAGGGAACTGATCTATCAAAACAGCTTTATGCAGTGATAGTGTGATTGCTCTCCACGCCGGGGGTATATTTGGATGGGAAAATTGCTTCAACTGCAGTGGTGAGAGCTCAACTGGAATTTCGCCAGTTTATCCCCAAAATTGTATGTTCTTTTCAAAATCATCTTTAGAAATGTGAGTTCAGTTGGAAAGTTCTTCATTAGAAAAAAAAGAAAAGAAATATTTTACAAAGGGATGGATAAGGCTCTAAAGAATGGAAGCTGGAAGAATTCCCGCTGGGAGATAAAGGCTGTGCTTTGTTATGATTACGTCTCCCAATAGCAGTTCCCAGGCTAAGTCGGGAGACTTCTTCTAGAAGCCAGTGGGACTTCCCATATGTGTAAGCTCTCCTCATCCAAATATTGTGGTGTGTTACCGTAGCGGCCAACCGAGATCGGAGTTGTGTATGCCAGGCATGACCTGCACATGCAGGAGGCAATCTGTGCCTCAGAGAGCAGATGGAGAGGAATGACGTATCGTGGTCTGTTTCGTAGAGAAGGCACAGAGGATTGCTTCTCTTCAAACAGATTCATCCTGGCAGGGTTTCCTGGTGGGGTGCCCCAGAAAGGGCCTAGAACTGCTGCAGTGCCATAGCTGAACCCTCCAGATGAGGGTGAATCACAGCATCGTAGCATCACCAAGGTTGGAAAAGACTTGCGAGATCATCCAGTCCAACCATCCACCTACCACCAATATTTCCCCACCAAACCATGTCCCTCAGTACAACATCTAAATGGTTCTCAAACACTTCCAGGTTGGTTAGGGTTAGGGTGCAGCTAACCTAGCCCATCTCCTTGAGCAGCCCATTCCAGCACCTTACCACTCTTTCGGAGAAGAAATTTTTCCTAACATCCAACTTGAATCTCCCCTGGAGCTACCTGAGGCCATTCCCTCTAGTCCTATCGCTAATATGTCCTTTACATCACGAGATCTGGATTGTTTTCCCCTGCTCTTATAATGTAGCTTTGTTAAGGGCTCCATTAGTACAAGGAAGTGAAATACAAGTGTATTGGTGGAAGCTGAGCTCTTGGTTTGAAATGGCTTCCCAGTTGGCCAAAGCCAGGGGCAGTGGAAAACTTCTGGCTTCCAGACTGCAAGCTGGAGCTGCACAGTACACTGCCTCTTTCTTTTATAGATCAGAATTCTGTAAGAAGGACATAAGGTGGGTGTAAATGACATTTCTGCCAAAACTCAAGGCCCCTTTAGCCACTGGGAGCAGTATAATGGGGCCTATAATAAAAGAGAATTAAGTCCTTATTTAGAGAGATGCATTGAAATTGCTGATATGCTGCCAATGTGTTGCAAGCTTCAGGAAATCGCATTTGTTCCATGTGGCCAAAACCCACAGAGAAGCTCCATGAAGCACTTAATTTTTTAGTATGGCTGTAAATAATGCGGTGGAGAATTGATACAGAAGTCCGACGAACAACTTCAAGGCAGGCTGCTGACGGCGTTTCTTCCTTTGCAGCCGTTGGTGCCGAGCTTCAGGACATGGATCTGTGGCTGTCCTCAAGAGGATTGCACCTGCTGATGTGCTGAGGGTGTGAAGCAGCTGAGAAGCTTCTGGGGGACAGCCTGGGGCGCTGCAAACATCTGCAGAGGCACCTCTGTTATCAGGTACGGTGAGCTGATATCAGATCACGGCTCACATGCTGCAGCTTGCAGCAGCACAGCGGCCTATTTGTAGATCTTGGGACAGCAGGCCAAGAAGAAGTGCAGGAGTTACTCCTCTGCTTATCTGTTTTCCTGGAGAGGAAAACGGTCTGAAGATTCCTGAGGTGGAGAAAAGCAAGTGCTCCGAGCTCTGCAGTCTGGTGAACTGAAATGATGGGACTGGAGTGCGTCGAGGACCACGTGCATGAGAGGTTTTGCTTGTGGCCAGAGAGCTGGTAACTGCAGTGGGGATGGGCAAGCTGACAAGCCCTTCTCAGGTCAGATATTAGGAAAGATTTAGTCTCTGAAAGAGTGGTAATGCAGTGGCACGGCTGCCCAGGAGTGGTGGGATCACCATCCCTGGAGGGGTTCCAGAGCTGAGGAGATGTGGCACTGAGGGATGTGGGCAGTGGGCACGGTGGGGTGGGCTGGGGTTGGGCGTGGGGATCTTAGAGGTCTTCTCCAACCTGAACGATTCCATCATTCTGCAGCAGAGTGGCTGGGATTCGTATGGCAGACCAGAAGGTGGCACTGCGGATACTGCGTTGGAGAGGTCCCAGTGCTCCCGGCCAGAGGGGAACGTGGGGAAGTGCTGCAGTAACGGGACTCTGGGTAAACCAGGCTACGTGGATGGATTCTGAGAGCTTAAAGCAAGAAGCGTGAATGGGCAAAGCAGGAGTTTGGATGTGGATAATGTGAGGATACAGGGAACGTCCTGATGTTTAATCTTCCACTTGAAACATTGTCATTGTATTAGCTGCAGAATCAAGCTGTGCAAAATGTTGAAATGTGCAATTTTATTGCAAAGTGCCAAAGCAAAAGAGCTTGGCAGGAGGTTTGCAGGGCAACCGTTGGAGAGGGGTTCTTGGCTTTGGCAAGGCATTACGGAAGACTTGGTCATTTTGAGCTGGAAATGGACAAGTCTTTGCTGCTCAGCCTCCTGCGGCTCGCTTGGCTGTGCTGGGCTGGGCCAACCGCTCCTGCCTCTTGCATTTCCTTCTGTCAGCAAATGCTCAGCTTTTTGTCAGTGAGAGGCCAGTAGCAAGGGACAAACTGATAGACTGCTAAGAGATCAGGCTGATGTCGGAAGGAAGGAGCAGGTGAGCAACTTGCTGTCTGCATTCTATTAATACCAATCCTAGCTCTGCGTTGTGTGCCTGGCTTCTTTACCCTGAGACTCCATGTATATTTTGAAGAGGATTTTGTGCTCAGCTCAGAGGCAACTCTCCTAAAGACAGTTGGATTGGAAATGACTCTGTAGGGCAGTGGGCGATTCATCATCCCAATGACTTATCCCTCCCCCAGAGTTTCTCTGAAGTTTCCTGTCAGAGCTCACACGCCCTGAGGAAAAGTGCTTTTGCTTTCTTCATACCTTCACTCTTCAGTAGCTACTTGTGCTGCTGTCCTGGGTTCTCAGAGAAAGTGGAGCTGTGCTTGCTTTTGGCTCTGCTTAGCTGCACTCTGCAATGTGCCTGCATGGGGACGCTTAGGGCTTGCAGCCTGATAGGGACAGCTGGATAAAGTAGAGCAGGTTTTCATTCTGCCATGGATGGTAGCTGCCAGCTCAAGCACAGTAATAAGGTATCAGGGGAGACCTTATCATCCTCTCCAGCTCCCTGAAAGGAGGTGGTAGCAAGGTGAGGGTCAGTCTCTGCTTCCAGGTAACAGTGATGGGACGAGAGGTGATGGTCTCAAGTTGTGTCAGAAGAGGTTCAGGTTGGACATGAGGAAACATTTATATTCTGAAAGGGTGGTGCTGCAGTGGCACAGCTGCCCAGCAGTGGTGGGGTCACCATCCCTGGAGGTGTTCAGACGAGATGTGGCACTGAGGGATGTGGGCAGTGGGATGGTGGGGTGGGCTGGGGTTGGGCTTGGGGATCTCAGAGGTCTTTTCCAACCTGAATGATTCTGTGGTTCAGTGGGGAGAATAGACGTGCAGTCTAGAAGCGGAAGATACATGAAAGCTGGGCAGTAAAGAGCATGAAGATGAATGTGACCTGGTGACATCGGCCCTCCATTGTGGAAGAGTGCTGGGATGCAAAGGGGAAATGATCCAGGCTCTTTTCTCCATGTGAAGAATGGGTGGCTTCAGTGTGACCAGGCATAGGTGGTGCCACACTGTGGATTGGCAGGGAAGGGTTTTTTAAACTGTGGGCAGTGAGGATTGCACTTGCAGGTTACAGCAAACCCGTTCCTACAGAAAGGCAGCTGTGAGTCAGCCGCCCTGCAGAGCCGGGCCCCATCTCGCCCCTCTTGGTCCTGGTGAGGAGCGAGGCAGGGAAGGCCCCGCGCGGCTCCGAAGGGCCCGTGTTTCCTGTCTCCTCACTTCTGGCAGGTTTTGTCTGCAGACACTGGCTTCAGTACCCTGTAATTACATTTTCACATTTTTTAATATAGTAACACACGGCTGGGCTTGTGGTAGAGAGCCAAGCGATGTCTTTGGGCCATGAGGACTAAAAATAACCCAGGGGATCATTTTATTTGGTTATGGAAGGAAGAAGCGCCTTCTTCAGAAGTTACTGTACAAACACAGCTTTGGAGCAAATAAAGAAGGATTCTTGTTTTCTATGCATTAGGGAGATACCCATGGATTCAGCAAAACTGCCTGAAAGCCAAAAATGCTTTGAACTATGTTTCTCTACAGAGGGCCTTCACATACTGTCAAGCTGTCCAAATTATAGCTTTGTTTTCATCTTACTTGTGGCAATTATTGTACTTTTGTTAAAAATACCATTCTGTGTCAATTCTAAGCTCTCAGTAGCGAGGACTGTCTTAAAATAAAGGCACGTACAGTGCCAGGCTCAGTAGGCATCATCTGTGCTGGAGGCCTCGAGGCACAAACCTACAGCAAATGACTGCTTTGTGTCACAAGGTACAACTTTTCAGGCCTGGATCTTGGCATTGGAAGTCTTGAAATCCGTGGTTCCTCCTTTCCCTCTGTGCTGTGCACTGTGGCTCACTGGTGGGAGCGGTATCATCTTGTGCTCTGCTCTAAAGCAATCTCTCATGCTTGCTTTCCAGCACATATCTCCCCTCCGCATGGTGCCCTGCTTCCCAAATCCAGGATCATCAGGAACGTGTATTGTGTAGCTTTAGCTCTGCTTTGGGGGAAAGTTCCTCCAAAGCTGGCATGTGGGCTGAGCACTGGATCTGCCAGGAGCACTGGGTGGAACCTTTCCCAGCATAAAGGAAGATGCTTGAGGGACTCCAGAAGGTGTATTGGGCACCTGCAGAGTTTGCCATGGACCAAGATGCCTGGTAAGCCTACATATTTGTTAGCATTTATGATATCTGCAGATATAATGGGGACTTTCTCACTCCCATTTTGTGGATACAAAATGCAAGCAAAGCGTACTCGGAACCTAGTAATAAAGCAGGTGAAGAGTGTTTACTGCAGACTCTCCAGAGAGGCCCCGTCCATCCCTGGAGGTGTTGAAGGCCAGGTTGGATGGGGCCCTGGGCAGCCTGGGCTGCTGTGAAATGTGGACGTTGGTGGCCCTGCATGGCAGAGGGGGGTTGGAGCTTCGTGATCCTTGAGGTCCCTTCCAACCAGGGCAGTTCTGTGATTCTGTGACTTTCTCATTTCCTTTTGGAGAATGCTTTCTCACGCACGTGATCCAACTCTTTGCAGGGCCAGAGCTTTCATTCATAGCGTGTGTGCAAACTGCTGCTTTTCCTCCGGAGGAAGGAACGCTCCGGAGGGCGTTGGTCACACCATGGCATCGCTACAAAGAGCCAACAGTTGCATGATTGAACTCAATTAATGGTGCTGCCAGCTCATTCCTAACATTTCTCTAGACAGACAGCAGTGCACTGAATCCGATGATGTTTCTGCCTTGATGTGGCACATTGACAGCAGCGGTGTCCATCGCGAGGAACAACAGATGAAGCAGTGGGCTGCTCTGTCATGATGGGGCAGCTCCTGGAAAAAGCTGCCATTGTTGCCGTGGCCGTATCGAGGGAGGCCTACACAAGGCCCTCTTGATTAGACAAACTGGCAGCAGAACAGCAAGTTCTTGTTAACCATACATGCCAAAAGGCCCTAACACAAACAATCCCCATTATAAATTAGGCCTTTTACAAACAATATTTCAAGAAACTACTTGTCCGTTTTCCATGCCATTATGCATTTTTAGGATGATTACATGTTTCTGCTGGATAATGGCCTTTTGCCAAGGGCAAAATGGAGTTTCAATAGGACTCATTATGAAGTGAAAAGTTTTTCTATTCCTACTCCCTGGAAGGAAAAAGCCACTCGCAGATAAAGCTTGTGATATAATTACGTTGCTTTAGATAACCAGTGACATTACTTCCCAAATGATAAGTACTTGTTTTTATCCTTTCTTAATCTCACAGGCCCCTTGTAGCCTTTTAATAGGAAGCAGTGGCAGCTGTGAAGGCCACTTGATCACTGGGCTCTGAGCAGAGCGCAGTGCTGCCCTGCTGATAAAAGTCCTGCTATCAGGATCACTATTAGGGGAGAAAGTGCTGTCTGCAAGGGCAGACCCTGCCAGGCAACTTTTCAGCATGCTGCTAAATAATTAGGTTCCATGACAAACCATTCCCTCCTCCCTGTTTGCTATAAGGAGCTACAGCCTGACCCTCTCTTGAATTAAGATGTGCTGTTCCCATTGGTGAAGGAATGTGAAATGCAGAGCTTTCAAACCTGGGATGTCAGGGTTTGATTCTGCTTGGGGCTGAAGGGCACAGTGGGGTTCAGATCCCGGGCTCCTGTTGCTGTGCACAGGAGTTCAGCAGTGCTTGCTGTCACAGAGCAGTTACACAGCAGCTTTGTGACCAGGATCCTGGCAAAGGCAGGGATCTGAAAGAAAAGGAGAAGCTCGCAGTTAAAGCCCTGAGCTGAGCTCAGTTCCCAGCCTCCTCTCAGTCTCCTCGGATCTGATCAGTTGCTCACTGCCCTCTGTTTCCCATTTGAAAAATATGGCTGGAAATGATTCTGTCCTTTTGTCTCTTAAGATTATAGGAGCTTAAAATAAAAAACTCTGCCTCTATACAGAGTAACCAGATCAACAGGCTGTCCCCATCTTCGCTAAGCTGTTGAGATGTTACTGTACCAGAAATCTATTTCTCTGATATATGGCTCGTGTGACCAAAGTTGTTTATAAAGATGCCCGTCACTCTCCATTACATGCTTCCCCCATTGTTATTGCAGGAATTCCATCAGAAGGGCAAAAAATAACTCACTGACTGCGAGAACAAAGGCCCTGATTCATGACAATTCATTTTGAGATGGCAAAAGCAATTTATTATACCCATGTAGCAGTTACGGTCAAGTTACTGATTCCAGGATTTTATTGCTATTATTTGGAAGATGAGCCATTTACACTTTTATGGTCTGAGGCCTGAAGATACTTTAGGAACGCTAATTAGAGCTTTTTGCACTCCTCCAAGGGACGAAGATTTTATTGTGCAGGATAAGCTCACGCTCGCTAGAAGCAGGGTAGGGGATTAAGTTGCTTGCCTGGGTAACAGTGAAAAGTCTGCTGTAACAGCTAAGGAATTTGGGGACTCCCTGTTGGCTCTGTTGGCTGGTTCACCCCCCTTAGCTTGTTGAAGGAGCCCCAGTTATCATCTCAGCTCTAGGCTCCCTTGGAAGGACTGAGAGGGGCGGCTGGGGAAAGCAGCTCCTGCCTTCACTGAGGGTGGGCATGGGAGACTGAGCGAGACTGAGTCCCTGAAAAACGCTGTGAAATTCAAAGCGCTCTGAAATGACCTGCCATGGAATGCTGTTGACCTCTGTGATGCCGTCCTCTCCATCTCCTTCTCAAGAGGTGAATCAGTCTATCTGCCCACACCGCAGGGGAGACAGGGACACAAAAAGCTCGGGTGGGATTAGGGAGTTGGGTCAGAGAAGAATCTGGTAGTCTGAAAGATGAGCGTACGCTTATGTGTATTTAGGAGAGTAATGGAGATGAAAACATAAACGAGCATAAAGAAACATGCAGACATCTTGGATTGCAAAGGACAATTCTCTTGTCCTATGAGTAAGGACAGCACAAGTTGTGGGGCACTGAGCTGGCTGTCCCAGTGGGCTGCTGTAAACAGGGACAGATGCACTCAGGTGTTGCTACCTGTGGTTGGCAGATTGAAGCACTGAATGCCAGCAGTGGCACACAAGGTTGGCAGATCACGTTTTCACAAAGCCCCTGTGAAAGCAAACACACGTTAATGTGTTAAACACATTAGTCATCGGGCGTTTAATTACCTCTTTTCACCTAGGACTCAGATGACCTCTAATAAACAATATCTGTGTTCAGAAGAATGGGCACAAACTGAAACAAGCACTGAGAAGGTCCGATGGCAAGTGACTTCTTCCCTAAGGTCATGCAGGAAGTCTGCAACAGCAACCTGCTCTGCCATAAACCCAAAGCCATTCCTTCCTGCTAGGAACACACCAGCCCAAGTGATTGTGCTTGTGTACCAGGCTGCAGTCACGAGGACAAGTGAAAAGGAGGAAATCCTTTTGGAGTCCTGGGGATTCCATTGCCTGCCCTTGAGATGGTGGGAGGACTCCTTGTCTTCGGTGAACTTGGTGTGGGGCCAGGGTGAGGCTGTCCTGCAGAGCTTGTGGGGAAACAGCAGGCCAGAAGAAGGGTGGCTGGAAAATTTACTGAGATATAGTGGGAAAGAAGGAAAGAGGAGAAGTTGCACTGCTGGGGTGGGAATCGGTTCTCCCTGTTCTAACAGCTGTGCCATGGTCATTGCAGCCACACACTTCTGACCCAAGCTGTTGGCTGGGGGTCTGTCCTGCTCCACCAAACACTGAACCACGTGGAAACTCTGACCCAGAACTTGAGTGGGGGACCCTTGCACTATGGAAGGAAAGAAGAGGGTCCACAAGAGCACTCCAGGAATGTAGACCATAGAATCATAGAACATCCCATGTCGGAAGGGACCCATAAGGATCAACGAGTCCAACTCCTGGGATATTATACTGAAACTGAAAAGGCTGTGGCGTTCTTTCCCAATTAGTCTCCTGAGCTGGACGGTAGAAGGAAAAAAGGATATTATTAGAAAAATAAGTTTTGCTGGAGAGAGGGCAAGAAAAACTCAATAGGAAACAGATTGCTTGAAGGCATTTGAATTCTCTGCCCATTTTTGGTGGCAGAATTACCTAAAGGATGTTGACAAACCAGGAAAAGCTTAGGAAGCCAAATAAAGAACAAGGCCTGATAACCAGCAAGATCCCCTCAGACCCTGCATGCCTCGGAATGGGCATTCCAGTGAAAATCACCACATTTCCAAACTGCTGGTTTTAGTGTTAATCTTCTGGAGCTGTTTTTAAACAAGGTCTGCAGCAGCTTATGCAGCCAGCTGAGCAGATGATGTGAATAAAAGAAATGAGCCACAGATCAAAAAAGTCGACATGGCTGGGCTTTTAATTTTACCTCTTCGTCTTTTCCCCAGATGTGGTTGTGGGAAGGTATCAGCCAAGAAATTGCAGGTGGCATGGTTATCTTGCTATTTACTGTGCGATGCTGCTGCTACCAGCTATTCAATAATAGGAAATGACTAATGATGTGGTGGAAATTATGAACCAGGATTAATAAAACTTGAAAAGGAACAGTCTGGTCTGTTTGATCCTCTGAAGAGGAAGTCTGTCTGTGTACAAGTCTTTTCCCTGAGGTGATGTTCTTATTAGTCTGATCTGAGTAGGGAGCAGAAGGAATGGAGCTTGGAAGTGGCTTAAAAAGAAGACAGTAAAAGAGGACATGAAGTATTGTTGAAAAACATCCCTGGGTGAGACAGGCTCCTTTCTAATGCTGCCTTACAGGAGGGTGCTGGTAAGTCAGAGGAAGGCAGGCCAAGTCTGTATGTCACTTGCAAGTGAAAAGGAATTTCTTGGAGAGTTGCATTTGACTTGGGTCAGATTCTGCTGCTCCTTCTCCTGCCAAATCCTCCTTGGGTTGTTTTGCTTGGTGAAGGACTAGAGTACTTGGCTGCTTGCAGTGCTGCTCAGCCTCATGAACAGGAGGTGCCAGCTTCTGAGTGCCGCAGCAGGGACACGGGTAATGCCTGGGTGGATAGCTGGAGGCAGACTGCATCCACAGGGCTGGAAAAACAGAAAGATGTGCTTAAAGTTTAGGCTCAAGAAAGGGCCTTTACCCTAACCCTATCCCCAGCATCTAAAATGTACAGGTCTGTGGCTGGCAGGGCAACATGGGGCTGTAGAACAGCAGGGCTGTGCGGGTTGTGCCACTGGTGATATAACAGAGCATTTGCACGGATGC